ATATATATATATATATATATATATATATATATATATATATATATATATATATATATATATATATATATATATATATATATATTTTTTTTTCTCTTGTCACTATGGAATTTATGCAAAGTGGATATTTTCGAAACTTATCACACAATATATTTCAAAGATATTACACTCTAAAATTATAATATTTAATATGTTAAATATTATAATGAATTAAATATATCTAACAAAAAATATGTAATTAAATATTTAGGAAATTCAACAATAAAATACTTGAAATATGATAACTTGTACCAATATGTAGCTACAATCAGAATACTTAAAATTATGATGAATTACATGTATCCATATTGGTAGTTTTGAAATTTGCAAAATAATGTAATAATTTTGGACTTCATGTGTATACATTTTCAATATATTTTTTTAGTGTATACATTTATTCATAATTATTATAGAAATGTTGCACAAAATAAATACTCCAAATATTCTGCATAAAATAAATATAATGACTTCAAATTAAAGTCCCGCCGCCTTGATCGAATAACTTAAACTGCTCGCTCAATTGCCTTCTTCAGCAACCCCACCTCTTAATTCCAAATTCTATCACTCCATTTTCACAGACTCAGAATTTGCCAACTGAATGGGGATATCTCTCGTGAGTATGTATAGACAAAAGCCAATGAGCTTTTTGATTGAGCTTAAAAAAAATAACCTCCCTCAAAATTTATCATCAAGAAAATTTGTGTCCCATGAATAAAATAATAATGAAAATATATTACCTTTTAGCGGAACTTGATATGTGGTTCTTCGATGGAACTTTCTGCTGCTAATCTAATATGGCCATCCAATAACCCAAATGATCTCTGTATTATTACAACTTTAAGAGAATAGTAATCTCTCAATATAGTAAATTGCCAATGGAATGTCACATTTAATAAATCATACGGACATTAATGTCATGTTGTTGCCATTTTGGCAATATTTGAAAACTTGAAACTTTTAAAACGACAATGATTTTGGCAACTATGAGGAATTGAAAGCTGCTATGTAATGTAGCCACATAATTGAATGAAATCTTAAATAGCTTATTGAATAGGTGTCGAGTCAAACCTGCAGCAGCCAAGTGAGCTTACTATTCGGATAAGGTATGCAAACACCTTCCCTTTGCTTTACATGTGAGCCTGAAACGTGGTTCAAAATACTTGATCAAGAAATAATATTTCAACAACAAAAAGCTAATACAAATTAAAATAAAATATGAGATGTCTGAAGATTTAAACCAATGATTTTGAAAATCACCATCAGACGTCTCTCCAACGTTTGTTCCCTCTGAATTTCTAAATCAGAAACGAATTCTTACTGTACACAATAGAGCATAATTAAATCATGTGGCTAGTGGCATAATGTGTAGCTTATTTGCCCTGAGATTTTGCCTCAAATAATTACAATACTAAACGATAATTCGATCAATTAATATAGCTTACTTCTCTCTACATTTGAACAAAAGACAATGTAAAAGAAGAAAACAAAACCATAGCCATCTTATCCTACCTTCTTCATTTCGATTTTATTTGATTTCTTAATTTCAATTCACCTGAGACCCCCCAACCCCAAACACCCTCTGATCCTTAAAAAAAACCTAAACCCCACTAAACTGCCAACACCATCTCTTTTACTTGTCTCAATTTATACTTAATTATGTGTTCTTTTTCCCACAAAATCCGCAATATATGAATGTTCTTTGCATAAATCATATGAGGTGGTGTACATGTATATGCTTTATGGTCGATATTCAATCTCAGAAATGGCCCTAGGATTACCCAACTGGTAATTCCATTTATATATAAGATTATCAAAAATTATCACATACCAATAAAATCAAATGGGTGGAATTTATAAAATCACCACAATACTATCTATCAGTTACACGTACTTGATGATGAGATAATTGAAAGATATAAATCACCATATGCATGCTGGAAATGATCAGGTTAGACATCATTCAGATCCAAAATTGGTAAAACAAATTCAATTATTAACTCCTTGCCAATTACATAACTATAGTGCGAGAGCGAATAAGTTCTGAAAAACGAACGGTTCAACATGAAATGGGAAAAGAACACAAGCCAACACTACCGATTTTGCAAAACATTTCATACCACTGATTTAACGGGGGGAGAAAACTGAACACAATTTGTAACAAAAGTTGTCAAAAGTGCTTAATTTAGTTTGAATCAAGCTAATAACCTTGTCACGGTCATCTTTCATCTTCATTTCATAGAAATTAATCATTACTTCATCACTTTAAGGACTATAAATTTAATGAAGGAACATTGTCAATTTGAAAAATATTATACATTTTCGAAGTATATATTATCTAAAAATAATATATATTATCTAAAAACAGGGGAAATACTACACATATTCACTATCAAACAATCAGAAAGTTGAGAAAATGTTCACTATTATCATCTAAAAACAGGGGCAATAATCGTGTAACAAATATCATGATAATAGTAATATCAGAAATATCATGCAAAAAAAAAATGAAAAAGATGTCCTAGAAACCGCATCGTCATCATCGATGCCCCAGAACTTTAATAACATCATATAAAACTACTATTGATGCAAACCCCAATTAAAATATATAAAAAAAAAAAAAAAAAAAAGAAAGCGAATTAAGAAACCTCAAATGATAAGCAAGAACTCCTTAAATTAAAATACATACTGTGATAAGCAAGAAATCCTCAAATTCCGTCCAAACTCCTTCAATTATGTCGATATACTATCACATTTTTTGGAAGAAAGAAGACAACTGCGTGCGTGGAGACAAAATTCTACGTCATTACCAGACAAATAAAAACACAAAGATCCTGAAAAAAAACCCAATAAATTTGAACATAAAATGCGACTATCACTAACCTCTTGAGAAAAATTTCTTACTTGAAATTTCAACCACCGTTGGTAGTGGCTTTCGCTGGCAGCAAACGGTCCTTCACTCCGACTCTCGGACGATTTTTGTTGAACTTTTGACCGGCGGATTTTAGAGCTTCAATTTTGTGGAAAGTAATAATTGTTAGAAAGATTTGTGTGAGAATTTGTGTTGATATACAGATGAGACATGAAATTTGAGATGAGAAGATCTAAAATAGATGAAGAAAATTGATTTCAATCAGACTATGAAATTTGAGATGAGAAGATCTAAAACTGATGAAGAAAACTGATTTCAATCGGCGGTTTGTGCAGTTGAAGGAGTGGGTTTTGAAAGAGAAATTTAGGGATAAAAAATTAGACGAGAGATGAAAAACGGCTGATAGATTTAGGGGAGATGAAATATGGGTTTTTCATTTTTACACCAAAAAATAGTAAAAATTATAAAACTTGCCCTAGGGTTAGAAACCCTAAGTTGCCACGTGTCAGAAAATGAAGCAAGGTATTGTCTTTTTATATATATATAGATTTCATACAGATTAAATCATCGACATACAAAGAAACAATGAAAATGGAAACTCCGATCATGTGTTTAAAATATAAAGATCGAGTAGATTCACTTTGACTCTTCTCAAAGCTGCAAAGTACTTTAACGTACAAATTAAAGAGCATATATATTTTATTTTAGTCCATCGTCATGCAAGAAATACGATACTTCATGATCAAGGACTTTTAGTAATATTATAACTACATATAGCTTAGTTTTGTACATTATATTTCCTATGTTAATTTTCCTATAGTTATTTTCCGTTTGCGTTATCTTAATTTTTTAATATGTCTTATCTAGGGGTGGGCATTCGGGTCGGGTTATTCGGGTATAACCCGACCCGGTCGGGTATTACCCGACCGGATCGGGTAATTTTTGATGTAACCGGGTTTTTCCCGGGTTCGGGTACCCGGTGCTCCCAAACCGGGTCGGGTCCGGGTATTAGAAATTCTACCCGGGTACCCGACCGGGTATCCGGTTAAAAAAAAAAAAAAAAAAAAAAAAAAGAATTTTTTTATATATGTATATGTCTGTAAACAGACTATGTATATAGATATGTATATGTTGGTATGTATATATATGTATATGTCTGTATGTATATGTTTGTATGTATATATATATATATATATATATATATATATATATATATATATATATATA